TTCTTAGAAGAAATTCCCATATAATTTTATATTTGAAAATTAATTTATCTGCAAAATGTATCAACTCAATATTATGCACCCTTACGTTTTGTCCTCACGTAATTCTCAATTATGAATTAATTAAATGAATCGAATTAAGAAGTTAATTAAGTTTTAACTTCAGCTATTTAATTTAATCATTCAAGCATGACCACACAGTATTTTAGATAATTAAATATGTTTATTGTGTTTATTGTATTATATAATATAAAATTTTGAACAATTTTGAAGGCAAACAAATTAAATGCTTTAAGGGCGCTTATGTCACAATAAGTAAATATAGTAGGTTTATTTATGAGATGGGAAAAAAATTAATAATTGAAATATCTAAAAATAAAATACCAGCACTCATAAAGAACTTAACTATGTAATAAACAATACACAAAAAAAAACTTTTTTTAACTCATATGGATTATATGGATACAACTGACAAAGCATCTGATTCTTTGATGCTTTATTTTTAAATGAAATAGTGCTGCTTATAGCTTATAGTTATTAAGAGAAACCACTGCATATTAGTTATAAATATAATTAAAAAAAATTACTGAACCCAGTTTTACAATGCATTTTGTTGTACCCCTTTAGATACTAATCCAGTCAGAAAATTGTCAGCATCTGTTGGAATGGCCTTATCTCTTCAACCGTGCTATACCTTCATAAATAGCCATATTACCGTGACCAGAAAAAATTAGGTAATAGTTTGGGATAATAGTTCGGCTGGTTGGTTAGTTGCAGTGGCAGCTCATCACTCAAGTACTCATCGGCTGACTTCAATTAGTCATTTCTCATCATTTTAATAACACATTCTATGTAAGAAAACTTACGCTAGAAAACAGAAACTAAATCTATCGCAACGAATTAAAATATTTTAATAGGTTATTCATCCTTACAGTCTGACAGGCTTTCAAAGAAGTACTACCCTAAAACCTATTTAATCTGGAGGCCAGAACAAGGAACACAAAGAGAAAATGTATAATAATGTCTTTTTCTACTAAATTTCCCTAACTGATGCAATGGGTATTTAAAGGAATGCGGAGTTTCTATGCATAGGTTCTCATACACCAGTAACCAAAGAGAACTGCAGTAAGCCTTGCAGTCCTCAAGCGGTTCTTTTAAATAAGTTCCCAAGATTTCGTTTTGTTATATGAGGGCTATATTACACGGGAAGTTACACATAACCTATGTGTCTTCACTTTGTTGTTGACAAGCTGAAGAAAAGTGAGGTAAGTGCTTCTCTTAATGATCTTCAGGGGGACATAAGCCAGTACCTCTAGAGAAACATCAAGGAGGGCCAAACTTCCAATGTTCAATGAACATTTCTTTCAATGTTTCTATATCTAGGAATCCAAATAAGAGTGATGGCAGCTAACCAGTCCAGCTCGTCCATTGCCTTTATACATTTTTTAATTATTTTTGTAGGTAAGGCATTACATCTTCAATTTTGCTATCTCAACATTTTGATATGTTTAGAATCAGTCTTGCTGTTTATCTTTCTTTTTATTCTACATTTTATCTTTGTTACAATAGGTTTTGGATCTGCCGTTTTATATCTAGATTCTAAGCCAGTATTGATTATAATAGTATAAGCGTATCCTACTTTCTTTGCTTATATCATTTGATTGCCTTAAGTGTATACTTAGTACTCAGTATCAAAGGACTTTAAACATTGTCTGTATAAAATTTTTGTTTGTAGGATCTATAGTTGCGACTTGAAATTATTTCGGGGCAGTATATATACTTAATCAACTAATATTTAAAAAAAAATTATTCAAAACAATAACCTAAGATGAATGTTTTCAAAGAAACAATCTACTATTCTTGTAGTCTCTAGAAAGATCAACGTATGTACTCACTATTGCATAAATGTACAAATTGTATATTGATAGATTATCAAAGAGATATTCCATTGTCATTGGACTAATATTGAATACTTAGTATTTCCCATTCTTATGTACAATACAAATTGATAAATATAAATATAAATTAAATATAAAAGAGATTTATTTAAGTTCATTTACGTTTCTCTTCCTGTACTTAAGCATGTGTCACATTTCAATTACTGTCAACACATTTCACATAAAATCACATGAAATCTCATTAATGTTGCTGGCAACAAAACAACAATGACACCTCAGCAACAGCAACAGTAACAGCAACATAAATACTGTTTGTATTGATTAGCCCTTAAATTAGATATTTAAGCTCAAATTTAGCAGCATTTGCACTCAAAGTGCCGTCAACAAATGGAATAGTCAAGCTGCCTGCCCTGCCTGCCGTGCCCGCACTGACTGCTTCAAATGCTTTCAGATGGATTTGGTTGCATATGCGGCACACATGAAGCACAGAAGAGCTGTCAAAATGTGATGTGACACATGCATTACACATTTGCTGCACGGCACTGTTTGTTCTGACAAAAGTTCATTATATTGAAGTGAATCTTAGAAGATATCGTGGCACCCACATGCTCCTGTACAACTCCTGAGAATCAACTCTCTTCGTAAATGTTGAATATGATTAATTCGAAAAATATGATTTGCATTAGTTTCGCTTTGATATTCATATACGAGTATATTATTTGTTGTGAGTACTCACAATTTTGACCGAAATTACATCAAAAAATTGTCACGCTAGGTTGAGGCACTTGAAACGAATCACGCATTTGAAGCTATGAATTTTATTTCGGGCTTGTCCCAGCATGTGCAGTGCGTCATTGTGTCTAGTGCAACTTCACAATGTGGATTGGATTGATGAACTAAAATTCAAGCTCCCACTGTGCACATGTGTAATTTGAAATACCTTCAGGACAATTGCCTAACTAATACATTGCATTTTATTCTATTCTCTGGTATTTAATTTCTACGAGTATTTTATTATTCGTAGCTCATTGTTACCTGGTATATACTGTCAAGTATCTGGAACAGCATGAGTCCTGGCAACGCCTTTTTATTGCACTTGGTTGACATAGAAAAATTCTTGGTAATTACACTCTAAAGTAGACCAATTGCATATCTGATTGTATCCTGCGGTGTCGTATTTATATTGTTTTTAAATTAGTTTCATATTGCGACACATTAAAAGTGAAGAAGTGAAGTGGTTGTATTGACTGAGTTGTCAAGGGTAGTTTCAGTTATTAAAATAAAACAAAACAATTGTGTTATAATAGGAATTCCTTACAAAAAGGGAAGATTTGAAAAGTAAGGCAATAAGTCATAAAAAAAATTTTTTGTTTATAG